GCTGACATGTTACACAAATGCAGCTTCTGGGTTTTTATTTGAGCGGGTAAAACATGTCGTGTGATTCCAATTGTTTTTTTATAGGTTCACTCTCTTGTTTTTCCATTTCTGTTCCTCATTCATCTTTCACCCCTCAGCTCCTCGTCACTTTTTCATCTTTTCCACTTCAATCTCTATTTTGGTGGGTTTTTCCCCTTTTTTTAAAAAAAAAGTTTAACCTGTGGTCTTTCTTCTCGATTCCACCTTCATCCTATATAGACATTAAGGTATTATAATCCTATAATTTAAATCATCGGCCTTGTCATTTCACATGTCCATTAGGAGATTAATACTGGTGTTAACTCGGGTTTTAAAGATAACAATTCACTCTGTAAACAATTCACTCAAAACGGGGTAAAATGTTGTAAAAACGGTGACAACAATTCACTTAGTGACGTCAACTATTCAATCGTGGTCGGTTGTTAAGTGAATCTGGATTCCCCATTGACTTTACTTGTCAGAAGGTCGCAAGAGGGGAATCACATGACCTCTTGGGACCCAGCAGTGGTCATAAGTATGAACCAGTTTGCCAAGCATCTGAATTTTGATCACATGATCATGGGAATGCTGCAAAGGTCGTAACTGTGACAAACGGTCATAAGTCACATTTTTTTAACGTCGTTGTAACTTTGAACGGTCACTAAATGAACTGTTGTAAGTCGAGGACTACCTGTATAATGGGCCAGAACACACAGCAATAGTTGATTAGTTGGAGAGTGCTGTCTCTTGCATGAGGCAATCTATGCTATGATTGGTTGCTGTGAGTGCGAAGGGGGAGTTTCCCTTTTTTCCCTCCTTTTTCTTCTGTGGGCTCTGTATGCTGTTAAGATTTACCTCAGGATGTTTCTGTGTTTCTGACTATCTTGTCTGCTGTAAATACAGACGTTAAATATATTTATGTATATAAAACTATAAGTTTGTGCCAGTGTCTCTGACTTCATTTGACACCTGCTGAGCAATTAGTTGACATATAACATTCCAAAACCTTGAGGAACATTTCAACCTCTTCCTTTAATTGCTCATCGCAGATAAGCTATGTGACTCAGATTCACACCCATCGCCCCCATAGATAGTTTGTTCCCATTCTAATGCATTCCTCACCAAAAAATAATTTGGTTGGATCTTCCAGAATGCCTACGCTCCTTGGTGAAGACTCTTGAAAAATACCATGGACACGCAAGAAACAAACATTCTCCAAGGCGCCTGAACGCAGGACAAGAAGCAATAGATGGAAACTAATCAAGGAGAGAAGCAATCTAGAACTAAGGAGAAACTTCCTGACAGTGAGAACAATTAACCAGTGGAACAACCTGCCTCCAGAAGTGGTGAATGCACCAACACTGGAAGTTTTTAAGAAGAGACTGGACAGCCATTTGTCTGAAATGGTATAGGGTTTCCTGCCTGAGCAGGGGGTTGGACTAGATGACCTCCAAGGTCCCTTCCAACTTTACTATTATTATTATTATTATTAAACCAATGGCATTATCGACCAAATCAACAAAGAGTTCTTACTTGAGGCACAAATTACTTAGGTTCAAATTATCGTATTTTGGATACATTATGTGAAAACCCAGGTCTCCTGAAAAGCCTAAAATGCTGGGGAAATGTGAGAGAGAAGATAAGAACGACAAACAGCAGAGTGGGTGGACTCAGTTACAATAATTCTGTTTTATCCTCATGTTTAACATGGTCGTTGTTTGGTTCAAGATTTAATATTAAAGCTGGCTTTAATTAATCACCCTGAACATAGTAATATGGAGGATGAAGCCTTTAAAATAAAATGAAATAAATAAAATGCTGATGCTTGTATCTCAGCTTAGTTTAATGAATACTATATAACATTGTTTGAAAAATTCCTTGCTACTACTAAATGATCAGTGTGCCCTGCATGCTGGTTCAGTTTTGACTGCAGTGGTGTACTTGAAAGACAGGTATTCTGGAAATCAATCGTTTGCCAGCAACAATCCTAATGACATGTTACGTGTGACTTCATTCATGCAACAGGAAGAATGTGTGGCTATATGTGGGTGCCATTGACCTGGAATTACAAGGAACATTTCTAGAATTCTGTTATATAGGAATAGCACTTAGACTTTACAGCCCTCTAAGCAGTTTATATAGAGTCAGCATATTGCCCTCAGCAATCTGGGTCCTCAGATGGAAGGCTGAGTCAATCTTGAGCCAGTGAGGATCGAACTCCTGGCAGTGAGCAGAGTCAGCCTGCAATACTGCATTGTAATAACTGCATCACTACGGCTTGCTTGCTTGCTTGCTTGCTTGCTTGCTTGCTTGCTTGCTTGCTTGCTTGCTTGCTTGCTTGCTTCCTTCCTTCCTTCCTTCCTTCCTTCCTTCCTTCCTTCCTTCCTTCACAAGCAATAGCACATAAACTTATATACCGCTTTACAGCCCTAAGCAGTTTACAGAGTCAGCATATTGCCCTCAGCAATCTGGGTCCTCATTTTACCGACCTCGGAAGGACGGAAGGCTGAGTCAACCTTGAGCCGGTCAGGATCAAACTCCTGGCAGTGAGCAGAGTCAGCCTACAATACTGCATTGTAATAACTGTGCCACTATGGCTTCCTTCCTTCCTTCCTTCCTTCCTTCCTTCCTTCCTTCCTTCCTTCCTTCCTTCCTTCCTTTCCTTCCTTCCTTCCTTCCTTCCTTCCTTCCCTTCACAAGCAATAGCACTTAAACGTATATACCGCTTCACAATGTTCTACAGCCCTCTCTAAGCCCCATCAGGATCAAACTCCAGGCTATGGGCAGAGTTTACCTGCAATACTGCACTTTAATCACTGCACCACCTTGACTCTGGTAGGTAGGTGCTGGTCATGTTGCCCTGATCAATGAGAAAGTATCTTCTTCACCTGAAGAAAATTAACTTAAAAACAATCACAATTGTGATTATAAAATGACAAACAGGACACAACATCCTCCCTGAGGTACCTGGTGACCAAATAAGTCACAAGGTTTATTTGCAGCATGGACATAGGCTGGGAGAGTGGAATGGTCAGCAATTAAGCCCTGTGTCAAGACTGCTAACATCGGATGTTCTTGCTTGTCATATATGAAGAAGCAAACATGTTTTATTTAGCCTGCATATCACTTCTAGAGTTAAAGCAGACAATACTAGCCTAGCAGATGGGAAAGTATGCTAGTTAACCATAACAATATTTCAGTACAGCATTGCCAAGCTTGTTGTAACCGGAGGAGTTACGGGAGGGACAGTTCACACTTCAAACTAATTGGAGAACGTGATTGATGACTGTAAAATGAAGGAGTGAGTTATGCCTTGTTATGGGTGATTGGGGGTGGGAGGATTCAGTTTTTGGCTTCATTATGTACGTGCCGAAGCTATGTAGCAATAAAAGGATTCTTTAAGGTAAACAAAGCCTCAAAGTTCTTTGAAAAGCTGCTTCTTTTCAGAACCATGACATCCTGATTGGAAGGCAGTGCTGTTGACTCAGCTGTGTAAGTGGGTCCTCTGGAAGCACTCTCAGTGACATTGATTCAGTTGAACCTTACAGCCCTGTTTGCATATCATGGCCAGCTGGCCAAGAGAAGATGGTAGGGATGCAAACACTAGCTCAATTGACCCAGCTCATTACCTCTGATGGGGTTACATTTAGCTCTGCAGAACCACGAGACTTTAAGGGATTGAACTAATTCTCCCTGGATAGTCATATCATCCAAGTACGAGGAACCATTCCCCTATCTCTGGCGAGAACAATTTCCCAAAGGTCCCAAAGGTGCTTTTTCACAAGGCAACTGGATGTTCTTTGTACATCCATGTGCACTATTCAGGTGACCCTGAGGGCACAGATGAACCTCCAGCTGGCCTCAATGGCTCTCAGAAAGAGTGCTAAGGACCAGATGACTGCAAAGAATATAAATCCTCCCATCCTCCACCGTTGAGTCAGAACTAAAGGCACTTCTTGGATGAGAAGCAAAATGTCTTCAAGGGAAAATAAAAAGAAAAGTCCAATTGCCTTTTGAAAAAGCACCTTTAGTAAAACCATGACCTAGATGACTGAGAATCTCCATAGACAATTTCCCAACGGGTATCTCTAGGCCCTCCATCTTTGTGGCCATTTCCATTGTCATCTCGTAGCAGCCACGAGGAAGGTCAAAACAGGTCTGGAGGATTGAGTACAGCCTCTACAACTCAACGCCATCATACTACTGTGGGTGGTGGCTTTTTTTTTCTCAATTATTTTTTGCTCCGAAGGAAAGCATCAAGACACGAGAAGGGAGATGCCAGACTCCCATCTTCTGCACAACGATTCTGGGATTGACTAATTAGGATATTCCTGACTCCAGTGCCTGGAGTTTAGGAAATGGAAGGATGTTGCAGTCAGCTGTCTCATATTAACGTAGTTACTAGACAATCACTTGTCTGAGATGATGTAGGTCAGTGGTAGCACGGGTGCCAGTGGCGGCACTCGGAGCCCTCTCTGTGGGCACACGTGCCGTTGCCCCAGCCTTGCCTCCCCCCGCGACCTCCTCCTCTCCAGCATCCCCCCTGAAGGAGAGTCGCCCCTGAGCGTGGCCCATATGGAGTAGCGCAGCCAAGGACATGGCAGCCAGGCAGCGTAGACAAGACTCTGCCCTCACACCCCATCGTGCACAGTTGATGTTGCAGGGCTCGGGCAGAGGGCGTGACTGCCATAGCGCTGCTGAGCTAACTGGGCGATCTGCGGTGGGCCCTGGAGGTGGTGAGTGGCCCTGCTGGCAGGCAGGGCAGGGGATGGTGGGACAGAGCGGGGGAGGGGGAGGGGTGGAGCGGGGGAGGGGCCGGTTTTGTGGCACTCAGTCTCTAAAAGGTTCACCGTCACTGGCGTAGGTTCTCCTGCTTGGATTAGAAGGCCTCCGAGTTCCCTTGCAGCTCTATTCTATTCTAAGACCAATCAGAGATTTAGAATTTCACAGTAATAAATAAGCAACGATCATTATTTGGATATTTACAATGAATTGTGGCGGGGAATAGCACAGACTTTAAAAGAGTGGGGATGCACTGTGAGCCCACTTATAGGATCTTCTCTGAGTTGTTTAACTCCTTCAGGCAGCTGAAACCGGAAGTTCCTCAGCAAGCTGGTAAAGATAAGGAAAATCTCCATCCTCGCCATCTGCTCCCCCAAACATACGCGTGCCCCTGTGGAGAGGAAACAGAGGACAGCGGCAAGTAAGAAATTAACAGTATTTATTGTTCTGAGCAGTTGTCTCTATCAATACGACCAACACTGGAAGTTTTTAAGAAGAAACTGGACAGCCATTTGTCCAAAATGGTATAGGGTTTCCTGCCTGAGCAGGGGGTTGGACTAGATGACCTCCAAGATCCCTTCCAACTTTATCATTATTATTATTATTATTATTATTATTATTATTATTATTATTATTATTATTATTATTATTATTATTATTATTATTATTATNTAATAATAAAGTTGGAAGGGACCTTGGAGGTCATCTAGTCCAACTCCCTGCTCAGGCAGGAAACCCTATACCATTTCAGACAAATGGCTGTCCAGTCTCTTCTTAAAAACTTCCAGTGTTGGAGCATTCACCGCTTCTGGAGGCAGGTTGTTCCACTGGTTAATTGTTCTCACTGTCAGGAAGTTTCTCCTTAGTTCCAAGTTGCTTCTCTCCTTGATTAGTTTCCATCCATTGCTTCTTGTCCTGCCTTCAGGCACTTTGGAGAATAGCTTGACTCCCTCTTCTTTGGGGCAGCCCCTGAGATATTGGAGCACTGCTATCATGTCCCCCCTCATCCTTCTCTTCATTAAACTAGACATTCCCAATTCCAGCAACCGTTCCAGTTGGGTAGGTTACACATGGTGATCACATGAATCCGCAACTGTCATAAATACAACGCCAGTAGCCAAGCGCTTGAATTTTGATCACGTGACCATGGGGATGCTGCAACAATTGTGAGTGTGAAAACCAGTCATAAGTCGCTTTTTTCAGTGATGTCACTTTGAACGGTCGCTAAACGAATAGTTGTAAATTGAGGACTACCTGTAATACGTTTGATATTAAGAAACATGTGGCAACATGTTGGCTCTGGAGCCATAAAGACCGGGCTCAGAGGCTGCCTGATGCCCACAAAGGGAAGCTTTGAAACAGCAGGATGTTATTTATGCTACTTCCAGGCCTTAAGGTTATAGTTAGAGCACAAAAGACTTTTTACCTGCTCCGAATGGAAGGAATTCTTCCCTCGCCACAAAATGTCCATCTTTGTCCAAAAAATGATTGGGGTTGAATTTTTCAGGGGTCTCCCAATGCATGGGATCAAGAAGAACTGAGCGGAGATCCGGTACAATTATAGACCCCTGTAAGGAAAAAGCAACTCAATCAGAATGCTTCTAAGTCAGAGGTCTTCAAACTTGGCCCTTTTATGATGCTGGCTGAGGAATTCTGGGAGTTGGTCCACAAGTCATAAGTCCACAGTGTGAAGTCCACAGTGCTAGGCTGCATTAACAGAGGGATAGAATCAAGATCACGTGAAGTATTAATACCACTTTAGAATGCCTTGGTAAGGCCACACTTGGAATACTGCATCCAGTTTTGGTTACCACGATGTAAAAAAGATGTTGAGACTCTGCAAGGGTACAGAGAAGAGCAAAAAGATGATTCGGAGACTGGAGGCTAAAACATATAAGGAAAGGTTGATGGAATTGGGCATGTCTTGTTTAACGAAGAGAAGGACGAGGGGGGGGACACGATAGCATGTTCCAATATCTCAGGGACTGCCACAAAGAAGAGGGAGTCAAGCTATTCTCCAAAGCACCTGAAGGCAGGACAAGAAACAACGGATGGAAACTAATCAAGGAGAGAAGCAACCTAGAACTAAGGAGAAACTTCCTGACAGTTAGAACAATTAACCAGTGGAACAACCTGCCTCCAGAAGCGGTGAATGCTCCAACACTGGAGGTTTTTAAAAAGAGACTGGACAGCCATTTGTGCGAAATGGTATAGGGTTTCCTGCCTGAGCAGGGGGTTGGACTAGATGACCTCCAAGATCCCTTCCAACTTTATTATTATTATTATTAAAAGGGCCAAGTTTGAAGACCCCTGTTCTAAGTCAACACGACACTATTCTATTCTTAACCAGAATGTCTTTCAGGGATGTGACTGAAATTCCAGAGTGTTTGTGACAGCCAACATTCCCGTCAAATGGTCATGGCAATATTATTTTATTTATAAGAAAAAATAGTACAATAATACTTCAGATTGCTTCCTGACAATCAGCATTTCCATCTTCCAATCTTTCTGATTCCCATATCAAGTGTGCATGAAACTAATTCAGACCGTTGTAACATTCTCAAATCTCTTCAGATACCAGGTTGGCATAGCCACGGACACATTGGCATGCTTGCAAGCTTAGGTGTTCTGCTCACTGGGAATTATTAGCCAATGTATACAACCACAACTGAGCTCAAAATTTCTGTTGCTAAACAAGACAGTTGTTAAGTGTGTTTTCTCCCATTTCACAACTTTTCTTGCCACAGTTGTTAAAGCAGGGGTCTTCAAACTTGGCCCTTTTATGACTTGTGGACTTCAACTCCCAGAATTCTTCAGCCAGCGTGCCTGGCTGAGGAATTCTGGGAGTTGAAGTCCACAAGTCATAAAAGGGCCAAGTTTGAAGACCCCTGTGTTAAAGGAATCACTGCAGTCATTTAATTGGTAACAGGGTTGTAAAATGAATCGGGCTTCCCCCATTGACTTTGCTTGTCAGAAGGTCGCAAAAGGTACTCTCGTGAGCCCAGGATACTGCAACGGTCATAAATAGGAACTAGTTGCCAAGCATCCAAATTTTGATCATGTTACCATGGGGATGCTGCAATAGTCATGTGAAAAATGGGCATGTCCTAAGACAGGGGTAGGCTCTTTTATGACTTGTGGACTTCAACTCCCAGAATTCCTGAGCCAGCCATGCTGAGGGGAAAGGGAGAGGTTTCCAAGCTGAGCCATGCTGGCTCAGGAATTCTGGGAGTTGAAGTCCACGAGTCATACAAGAGCCAAGGTTGCCTACCCCTGTCCTAAGAGGTGGAAAATCAGAATGTTGCATTGAAAATGGGCATAAGGTTCTGAAATTGTCATATGTTGAAGAGAATTTTATTCAAATAATATTACATTAGCATATGGCATTTATTTTTCATCCGTAATTTCTCTTCAACTTTGGAATCCAATTTTTTTTTTTTTTAGTACAGCACACCGAAATGTTAGTTCCCACAATATTTTTGGAAATTTTACTTCTCTGCCTCATGCGATATCTCAAACATTGGTTTGGGAGTCTAAAATTTCATCCCAAATAACAATGCAAATTGATGATGACTTATAGCTAGCATACTATAGTTTCTTGCTCTTCGGATCTCTGGGAGGAGTAGGAAAAGAATTTCTCATCTTTCAGATTTTGTGCCAGATCAGAAATTCCTATGTATCTAAAAGATAGATCTAAGTATCTATTAAATTATTATTATTATTATTATATTATTAAATATCTAAACATATATCTAAAAGAACACCCTTCGATACAGGGCTGCAATGGTATAAATTATCTGTACCTTTGGAATGTAAAAACCAAGTATGTTCACATCTTTCTTACATCTTCTGGCAATACCAAAACTTAAGACATAATGGATCCGCTGGAGCTCATGAATCACAGCATTGGTATAGGGCAGTTTCTTTCGATCCCGATAGCAAATTAAGCCCGAGGAACAAACACCTTGTATCTCCTTGTACACTTTATCTGAGAAAAACAAGAGAACAAAATGGTTTCTTGAGCTATGACTTCAACTTATATTTATTTATTCATTTGTATCCCAACATTATTATTTTTACAAATAATAATAATAATAATAATAATAATAATAATAATAATAATAATAATAATAATAATAATAATAATAATAAAAAGTTGGAAGGGACCTTGGAGGTCATCTAGTCCAGCCCCCTGCTCAGGTGGAAAGAACTGGAGAAGATCACAAAATACAAAGACCTACAAATAGAAATAGAAAGACTGTGGAAAAAGCAAGCAAAGGTAGTACCAATAGTAATAGGCGCCTTGGATGCAATCCCAAAACAACTGGAGCACCACTTGAACACCATTGGCATTGACAAGTTCGCTATTAGTCAATTGCAAAAGGCAGCCTTACTAGGAATTGCTTCCATCCTGCGACGATATCTGTAATACCATCAAACATCCACATCTGCCTATCCCAGGTCCTGGGTAAGGACTCGATAGGTAGACAAAATGCCAAATCCAGTCTGAACATCTGGCTGACCGTATGATGATCCATAATAATAATAATAATAATAATAATAATAATAATAATAATAATAATAATAATAATAATAATAATAATAATAATAATAATAATAATAATAATAATAAAAAGTTGGAAGGGACCTTGGAGGTCATCTAGTCCAACCCCCTGCTCAGGTGGAAAGAACTGAAGAAGATCACAAAATACAAAGACCTACAAATAGAAATAGAAAGACTGTGGCAAAAGCAAGCAAGGGTAGTATCAATAGTAATAGGTGCCTTGGGTGCAATCCCAAAACAACTGGAGCACCATTTGAACACCATTGGCATTGACAAATTTTGCTATTAGTCAATTGCAAAAGGCGGCCTTACTGGGAACCGCTTCCATCCTGCGACGATATTAGTAATACCATCAAACACACACATCTGCCTATCCTAGGTCCTGGGTAAGGACTCGATAGGTAGACAAAATGCCAAATCCAGTCTGAACATCTGGCTGACTGTGCGATGATCCACAATAAAAGTTGGAAGGGACCTTGGAGGTCATCTAGTCCAACCCCCTGCTCAGGGGGTATAACTCAAGGTGGTGAACATATCCCACACACCTTTCTCCTCCTGTTTTCCCCACGATAACCCTGTGAGGTGAGAGGGACTGTGTGAGTTACATGACTTATTTCATCATACTAATCCCTGGAGGGCTTTAGAAGATGTTGTCAGGCTTCCAAATATTTTTTTCCAATGAGAAAAAAAAATGAAACTGATTTCGGTTTGTCACAATCAAGTAGGTTATTGTTATAAAAATGGCTAGTGTTTATTGTTTTATAAAAAAAAAACTGAGGTTATATTATGCATCTTGCCACACTGAAAGAAGTTGGACGTCACTGCTTTTTGTATCTTTTTTTTCCCCCCTTCGCTTTGTTCTCTTTCCCCTTTCCCTTTCCCATGTTTTCCGTTGTCTTTATTTTCATTTGCTTTTTATAGTAAGAAAAAAAATCTTTTATTAAGAACTATGTAAAAATACTGGGGGGAGAACCACGGTCATTTTGGTAAAAGGCACAAGTACAGTAAAAGAGTGGAATTCATTGTGCAGATCAGACTGGGGATAAAATAGAATAGCCATAGCACTTAGACTTATATACCACTTCACAGTGCTTTACAGCCCTTTCTAAGCTGTTTACAGAGACAGCATATTGCCCTCAACAATCTGTGTCCTCATTTTACTGACCTCGGATGGATGGAAGGCTAAATCAACCTTGAGCTGGTGAAACTCGAACTGCCGAACTTTTGGCAGTCGGCAGAATTAGCTTGCAGTACTGCATTTAACCACTGAGCCACCACTGCTCATAATAAGAAGGTTAGGTTCACCTTTTCTTTCCAGATTATTGTCGAGTAGTTATATTTAAACTTGATTTTAATAAATCCTTTCTGGGGATATGATAACTTATACAGGTATCCTTTACAAATACAAATCATATGTTTAAAAACATCTCTCTTACATACGCATTCGTCTAAAAAGAAAACATGGTTAATAAATGAAGTATTGCCAATCATTACATATTAAGCAAGAAAAATTGTGATGATAATGTGGTAGTGTATGGCAAAAAAAAATACATACAATATCACTTGAATTTACAAGAGTTAAGATTTCAATCCTATTCCAGATTAGGTGTGAGAATTTACTGGATTCAATAGGACCTATATGTCAGTAGACACGTCTAAAATTCCACTAAACATAATTACACAGAATATGTGTAATAATAATAATAATAATAATAAAGTTGGAAGGGACCTTGGAGGTCATCTAGTCCAACTCCCTGCTCAGGCAGGAAACCCTATATCATTTCGGACAAATGGCTGTCCAGTCTCTTCTTAAAAACTTCCAATGTTGGAGCATTCACCGCTTCTGGAGGCAGGTTGTTCCACTGGTTAATTGTTCTAACTGTCAGGAAGTTTCTCCTTAGTTCTAGGTTGCTTCTCTCCTTGATTAGTTTCCATCCGTTGCTTCTTCTCCTGCCTTCAGGCGCTTTGGAGAATAGCTTGACTCCCTCTTCTTTGGGGCAGCCCCTGAGATTTTGGAACACTGCTATCGTTGTAAGGATGCCAGACCATCGCATCCCTAAACAGCTCTTCTATGGTGAGCTGTCTCAAGGAAAGCAATCGCACGGGGGACAAAAGAAGCGATACAAAGACACGCTGAAAGCATCTCTCAAGTCCCTGGATATCGACACCATCTCTTGGGAACTCTTGGCGCATGATCGACCGACATGGCGTACCCTGGTTTACCAGGGGTGCCAGACATATGAACACAGGAGGACAATCTTGGCGCAAGAGAAGCGAGCACTCCATAAAGCCAGAGCTGCAAATGCTGAAGCAACAGTGTCCACATTTCTCTGTTCAGTATGTGGCAGAACATTCCGTGCTAACATCGGTCTAATCAGCCATCTAAGGACACACCGTTGATGGCCCACAATCCACAAGATGTCAAGGTCTTCATCGAAATCGATGGACGAACAACATTGGCCACAACGGTTTTAAATCACTTGCTTAATGTCTGACCTACATTGCTGTATTTTTTAACAGTTGCTGTTACTGAAAAGCCAGACTGGCTGTCTCCAAGCTGATAATGAGGTTGGGGCGGGAAACTGTTACTTTAAACCTATTGGTTGCTACCTAGAGGCTAACTGTATAAATAGCTGTGCAAAGGCTGCTTCTGTTCTGAGTTAATAAAGTTGTTTGCTGTTTCAACACTCTGCCTCATTCAATGCCTAAAGAACTGAAGATATAACATCACCCCTTGTCCTTCTCTTCATTAAACTAGACATACCCAATTCCAGCAGCCGTTCCTTATATGTTTTAGCCTCCAGTCCCCTAATCATCTTTGTTGCTCTTCTCTGCACTCTTTCTAGTTGACTGTACAGAAGGAGATGCGGTATACCCCTTCCCTCTCTGGATATATAGAATAACAACGTTATCTCTCTGTCTCCTAATGCTTCTCAAATTAAAAAAATAAAATAAACACATCCTGCTTGAAATAGATTCCATTGAAGGTCTAACTTGGACGATTAAGGCTCAAGGGCATCTTTCCCCAAATTTCCTTATTTTAGCTGTTCATCACCCATCCTATGTGACTTCAAAGAGAAATTGCAACTCCCTGCCACAGAACATAAGTTCCTCCCCGTGGAACGAAGTTCACCTCTTTAATTACGTAGCTCTCACCTTGGACATCTGGATGATTGGTGATGAAAAGCAGTGCCCATTGCAAACTGATGGCGCTTGTCTCCGTCCCAGCTATAAAAAAATCAACAATGCACTCGGCCAGATTATCTTCATCGTAGGTATTGTTGGGGTCATCCTTGCTCTGTTGAGAGTTTTAAAAAAGAAAAAGAAATGCCATTAGAATGAAGGTATAGATCAACTTTTTTCGTAGAGGAGCATGTCCGCAAAGAGTTTTGAGCTGGGACGGTAATCCGTAACGCCCATTAATGGGCAGACAGAAAAAAGATCAGAAAAGTCAAAATGATGGGTGTGACCATATGATCATTTTGATTTTTCTGCTTCCCTGAAAGGAGTAGGTCCAGTTTCGGGAAGGGATCCTAGAGGAGCTGGTATCTCTTTTCCAATTTGAATTCTAATCTGCATTGAATCATCCTAAACACTACTTTGCTAGCATGTGTAATTAAGTGATTACATAGAAACATAATTTTCCTGTAACCATTTTGGTAAACCATTCTTTCTTCTGGATTATTTTTAAACTTTTCAGCATAGCCTACTGACCTGGGATCTCCCAGAGATCTCCCATCCAAGTGCTAAACCCCATCTAGCTTTTTCTGAGATAGCTAGGATCCAATGACTGACAGGGTTAGAGATTATTCATATGATAGGCAAAATACAGAATACTGAATAATAGAATTGGAAGCGACCTTGGAGGTTTTCTAGTCTTTTCACTAGACTAGACATCTCCAGGTGCTGAAACTGTTCTTCATATTGTGGGAAGTCAGAGCCCCAGAGAAGGAAATATTAAAAAGGCAGAAAGATATTTTTCCTCAAAAAGGATTTTTAAAACCAAAAACCAAACCTGGCATCATCTCTTTGCCCCAAGCAGGAACCAGCCCTATAGAAATGCAGATGTAAGACCATCAGGAAGGTTGGAGCCAGGAACTCAAGAAGACAAAAAACCTCTTAAGAGTCATTAGCCCCATCCCCAGGAAAGCAGATGACTTTTGGGACATAATATGACTAACCATTACCATCAAGTAATACCAGAGAGGCACACCTGGGCTCAGGTCAGAATACGTGACACAGGAAATATCCTCAAAGTTCATGCCACATGAACAGGAAGACTTCCAAACAAAAAGCTAGAGAGGGTATAAAAAGCTACTGGCCATGTGCTCAGTCTCTGCTTCTCTCCTCTGCTCTTTCCTGAAGAACCATCTTTCTGCTTCTGCAATAAACTGTAACCATCTTCCCAAAGCAGTCGCCATGTTGCTTATTTAATAGTAATAATAATGATAATATTCCCGGCTTGGATGAACCAGGATGAAGACTTACTTCTGACAATATGTTTTAGTCTCCAGGCCCTTAATCATCTTAGTTGCTCTTCTCTGCACTCTTTCCAAAGTCTCGACATCTTTTTTATAATGAGGTGACCAAAACTGGACGAAGGATTCCAGATGTGGCCTTACTAAGGTTTTATAAAGCAGTACTAATACTTTACATGATCTTGAGTCTATCTCTCTATTTATGCAACCACGGATTCCATTAGTTTTTTTGGTGGCAGCTGCACACGGCTGGCTTTTATTTAAGATTGTCCACTAGGACTGTCTACTAGGACACACCACTAGGATTGTCCTTAAGATAGATTTCAATTGCCAATTGACCAAGAAAAAGTTCTTTGTCACTTTTTCTCAAAGTGATCCAACGAGGGGATCCAGACCACAGTACTGTACAAAACTCCAGTTCTAAACTTATCAAGAGCTCTAAAGAAACATCAACGTCAGTTGTAGCAAATTTACTGAGATATCAAGGAGTATGAATGAGGCCACATTCTTCTCCTGTCTAGAAAGGGACATCAGACCTTGGTTTTTAGTTAGGAGAACATTTACAACTACAAGGTGATGTGAGAAATTGTGAGGAAGCTTAGAGAAGAATGGAAGGGAAGTTAGATATGAAAGTAGATAGTAGGTGAGGCAATAGGCAGCTTATCTCATTAACATCAACATTTTGTCTTCCCAGGTGCAAGATCCTTCAAAGAGACTTACTAAAAAGAATGCTGAGAAATTCCATTTATAGTTTTCTAAGTGTCTATATTTACCAGATGAGCATTAACAAAACCTTACTAAAATCTATGCAGTTCTTGCTTCTTTGATCTGGCCCATCGGTGAGGGGCTTCATAGATACGTTATTTATACCTCTTTGACATGAATGTATAATAATAATAATAGTAAAGTTGGAAGGGACCTTGGAGGTCATCTAGTCCAACCCCCTGCTCAGGCAGGAAACCCTATACCATTTCAGACAAATGGCTGTCCAATCTCTTCTTAAAAACTTCCAGTGTTGGAGCATTCACTGCTTCTGGAGGCAGGTTGTTCCACTGATTAATTGTTCTCACTGTCAGGAAGTTTCTCCTTAGTTCTAGGTTGCTTCTCTTCTTGGTTAGTTTCCATCTGTTGCTTCTTGTCCTGCCTTCAGGTGCTTTGGAGAACAGCTTGACTCCCTCTTCTTTGGGGCAGCCCCTGAGATACTGGAACACTGCTATCATGTCCCCCCTCGTTCTTCTTTTCATTAAACCAGACAGACCTAATTCCAGCAACCGTTCCTTATATGTTTTAGCCTCCAGTCCCCTGATCATCTTAGTTGCTCTTCTCTGTACTCTTTCTAGAGTCTCAACCTCTTTTTTACATCGCGGTGACCAAAACTGGATGCAGTATTCCAAGTGTGGCCTTACCAAGTGGTATTAACACTTCGCGTGATAACAATAGTCAGATTTGCTGGAAGAGGAAAAGGGAAATGTTTTTTTTTTAAGTAAAAGCCAAAGTAAAAAGCTCAAATCCTTGCGACTTTATGGTGATGACCATGTAGGTTTCCTGGGCAGCAATACAAGCAGTCCTTGACTTACCAAAAAAGCTAATACAATCCTGGGTTGTATAAACACAGGCATAGTATCAAGATCACACGAAGTACTAGTGCCGCGTTATAAAACCCTAGTGAGACAACATCTGGAATACTGCAACCAATTTTGGTCACCATATCACAAAAACGATGTTGAGAGTTTGGAAAAAAATTCAGAGAAGAGCAACTAAGATGATCGAAGACCTGGATGCCAAAACATACGAAGAACGGCTGTGGGACTTGGGTTTGGCTAGTCTAAAGAGAAGAAGAAATAGGGGAGACATGATAGCAGATAGCTTTGGTGAACAAGCTGCCCCCTCTGCCTTGTGGCAGCCGTAGAGGGGCTGCCACAGGGCAGAGGGGGCCAGCTTGTTCATCAAAGCACCAGAGGGAAGGATGAGAAACAATGGTTGGAAACTGATCAAAGAGAGAAGCAACCTGGAATTAAGGAGAAACTTCCTGACAGTGAGGACAATCAACCAGTTGAACAGCTTACCCCCAGAAATCGTGGGTGCTCCATCACTGGAAATTTTTAAGAAGAGACTAGACAATCACCTGTCTGAGATGGTATAGGTTCTCCTGCTTGAGCAGGGGGCTGGACTAGAAGACCTCCAAGGTCTCTTCCAGCTCTATTCTATTCTATTCTATTCTATTCTATTCTATTCTATTCTATTCTATTCTATTCTATTCCTATTCCTATTCCTATTCCTATTCCTATTCCTATTCCTATTCTATTCCAATGCCACTCAAGAAGTGGCTTATGGCTGGTCCTCTCACTTACAATTGCTGCAGTGTCTCCAGAGTCACATGATCGTAATTTGGGCACTGGGCAACTGGCAGGTGTTTATGATGGTTATGAAGTCTAAGTGCCATTCCTATTGCAAATGGGAGCAATGAGAGCTAACGTTTGTTAAAGATGTTAAGACGGGCTTTCAACGGGTGGTAATTTCACCCTGTTTTTAATGATCTTGGTTTTGACTTGATTATATCTGTCTCGTAAAAGATCAAGAACCCGCTTGATGTCATAGTTAAGGCACTAGGCTAGAAGCTGGGAAAACATGCCAGTCGCCTTCTCTCAGCCCTATGAAGGAAGCAACAGCAAACCACTTCTCAAACCTTGCCAGGAAAAATCTCAAGAATGTATCCAGGTAGTCACTTACTATGAAACTTCATAATCTTTACTGTTTCATTTTTATATTGTGGATCGTCAAGAGACCTCAATACCCAGCAGTCTAGAAGGACAGATAGATTATAGACAAATCACGTGAAGTGTTAATACCACTTTACAATGCCTTGGTAAGGCCACACTTGGAATACTGCATCCAGTTTTGGTCACCACGATGTAAAAAAGATGTTGAGACTCTAGAAAGAGTACAGAGAAGAGCAACAAAGATGATTAGGAGACTGGAGGCTAAAACATATAAGGAACGGCTGCTGGAATTGGGTATGTCTAGTTTAATAGAGAAGGACGAGGGGGGACATGATAGCAGTGTTCCAATATCTCAGGGGCTGCCATAAAGAAGAGGGAGTCAAGCTATTTTCCAAAGCGCCTGAAGGCAGGACAAGGAGCAACGAGTGGAAACTAATCAAGGAGAGAAGCAATCTAGAACTAAGGAGAAACTTCCTGACAATTAGAATAATTAACCAGTGGAACAACCTGCCTCCAGAAGTGGTGAATGCTCCAACACTGGAAGTTTTTAAGAAGAGACTGGACAGCCATTTGTCCGAAATGGTATAGGGTTTCCTGCCTGAGCAGGGGGTTGGACTAGATGACCTTCAAGGTCCCTTCCAACTTTACTATTATTATTAAATAAAACATGAGGCTGAGAAAATCTTACGATGGCTCTGCAGCTGTTATGCTTTAGTCACAGCAGGGCCCGCGGCTGTACAGGTGGTCCTCGATTTACAACTGCAACTGAGCCCCCAGTTTATGTTGCTAAATGAGACATTTGTTAAGTGAGCTTTGCCCAATTTTACTACTTCTCTTGCCACCGCTGTAAACTGAATCACTGCAGTTCTTATGTTAGTAGCATGGCTGTTAAGTGAATTTGGCTTCTCCACTTTTCACACATATGACCCAAATTGCAGCATCCCCAGGGGTCACGTGGTCAAAATTCAGAGGCTTGGAAACTGGCTCATATATTTATGACGGGTACAGCCATCCCCCGGGATCATGTGATCATCTTTGGGGACTTTCTGTCGAGCCAAGTCAATGGGGAAGCTGGATTCACTTAACAACTGCAGCGATTCGCTTAACAACTGCAGCAATTCGCTTAACAACTGTGGTAAAAAAAAAAAAAGGTCGTAAATGACTCTGCTTGACCAGCCAAGTCAACGGGGAAGACAGATTCACCTTAACCATCTTCTTAAGTTCACAGCTTCACAACTGCAGTGATTTCGTTAGCAACTGTGGCGGGAAAGGTCGTAAAATAGGGCAAATTTCGCTTCACAAAATGTTTCATGTAAGGACAGAAATTTTGGGCTCAATTGTGGTGATACAGTAAGTCCAGGTCTACCTGTCCTGTGAAGGCAGTTCGGATGAGGAGGGGGAGAGAGTAAGCTGAACGATGCAACTGCAGTACACTGTTCAAATGGTTGGGCTGTTCCATACATAAGCAAAGGAAGAGTTCCAATGAGGGATGATACTCACTCTCTTAAGCTGAAAAAGATAGTAATCAATGAAATCCCGAGGTTCGTGCAAGGACTGGTTTTCCTTGTGCTTCTCTATCTCCTCCTTTGCCAGATCATAGATAAACTTAATGTGGGACAGTGTCGCTTGATGAGGCCCAGGAATGTGTCGCATCAGCCAGGGAAGCAATTCATACAGCTAAAAGAGAGTAAAGTCATCGTCACTGTTATCATGATACAATCTATTTTCTACTCCTTGCAATTAAACTTTTTGCTGACATGGACCGAACCATTGCTTGTGGGCCGTGGTATCTATGAAGGAGGCCAATGCAAGCCAAGTGGTGGACATGGCTACCAATGAGGGGTCCTTGGTGCTCTCTGAGCTTGCTTGTTTTCTTGCAAACGTTTCGTTTCCCTAACTAAGGTAACATCATCAGTGCTAGCAAGGAGTGCTGTTTGCTATCAGTTTATATTGTGGTGTCTGGTCTGAAGTTGACCTTGGAGTGAATCAATGCTGATCCGAGTGCCGATTCCTGGTGGAGAGGTGCTGGTTGATTGTCTCTTTTGCATAGTCAACAGATGTTGTTAATGTGTCTATTGATGGCTGATTTGTCAGAGTGCCAGGCTTCTAGAAAGCCCTTGGCATCTAGGAGTGTCACATTTTCCCAATTAAAACTGTGATTAAATCTGTTTATATGTTGTGAAATTAAAGCCTTTTCCTCCATGCCTTTTGACTGCCTTTTGACTGGATGCGTTCTGCCAGTCTTCTTCCTGTTTGTCCTACATAGTGGCTGTTACAGTTCTTACACTGTATGTTGTAGATGACTAAAACCCTAGTAAGACCACACCTGGAATACTGAAGCCAATTTTGATCACTGTATCACAAAAAAGATGTTGAGAGTTTGGAAAAAATTCAGAGAAGAGCAACTAAAAGGGATCAAAGGCCTGGAGACTAAAACATACGAAGAACGGCTGTGGGACTTGTGTTTGGCTAGTCTAAAGAGAAGAAGAAATAGGGGAGACATGATAGCAGATAGCTTTGGTGAACAAGCTGGCAGCCCTAGAGGGGCTGCCACAGGGCAGAGGGGGCCAGTTTGTTCATCAAAGCACCAGAGGGAAGGACAAGAAACAATGGTTGGAAACTGATCAAAGAGAGAAGCAACCTGGAACTAAGGAGAAACTTCCTGACAGTGAGGACTATCAAGCAGTAGAACAGCTTGCCTTCAGAAATTGTGGGTGCTCCATCACTGAAGATTTTTAGGAAGAGACTGGACATTCACCTGTCTGAGACGGTATAAGTTCTCCTGCTTGAGTAGGGGGCTGGACTAGAAGACCTCCAAGGTACCTTCTATTCTATTCTATTCTATTCTATTTCTACTCTACTCTTATTCTATTCTATTCTATTCTATTCTATTCTATTCTATTCTATTCTATTCATAAATGTCATGGTTCCGATAACTGAAACCCATCAAAAGAACCTTGAGGCAAAATTCTTCCTTAAAGAACATTTATTCGGGAAACAAAGTATCGGCACTACATAGTTGAACCCAAAAACTAAATTCCCTTCCCCCTGATACAAAGTAACAAAGTATAATTCCCACCCCGAATAAACTGTCATAAAACACATTCCCCAATTAGCTTCAAGCCCGGGCTTTCTCCTCAGCTCGCCAAAACGTTATCAGCTCGTCCTTGAGTTCCCACGGCAGCGTTATTATTATGACTTACTGAGCTTACATCCGACCCACCCACCCTGCTGCACCTGAATTCTAAAAGTAAAGAAAAGCATGTTAAAGGAGAAGATAAAATGGCTGCATTTTCACCAGTTGTCAGAGCAAGAACATCCAACGTTAGCAGCGTTGACAATAACACTATCAAGACTCCTGGGCTACCAATCCCTACTCCTTTTTGCACAGGGGAATCTTGCACCTACAAAGGGATAGATCTTAGATCAGGGGTCTCCAACCTTGGCAACTTTAAGACTTGTGGACTTCAACGCCCACAAGGCTGAGGAATTCTGGGAGTTGAAGTCCACAAGTCTTAAAGTAGCCAAGGTTGGAAACCCCTGTCTTAAATCATCCATTCCCCATTTTGCCTGTTTTGACCACCTTTGGAAACTGCTGCAGGACCCTCCTCCAGGAGGGCAAGGGGTTCTTTGTTTGATTAGTGACTGTTTGAAGTTGCAACGGCACTGAAAAAAAGTGACTGGTGGCCATTTTTCACACTTACAACTATTGCACCATCCCCGTGGTCACGTGATCAGAATTCAGACGCTTGGCCATTGGTTTCATATTGATGACGGTTGCAGTGTCCCGGGGTCATCTGGATCATGTGTTATGACCTTCTGACTAACACAGGGGGAAGCATTGAGGCCTTTGAACTATGATGCTGGAGAAGACTCCTGTGAGTCCCCTGGACTACAAGGCGATCAAACCGGTCAGTCCTAGAGGAGATCAACCNGTGAGCTTAAATGGACTCCAGAAGATGGTAGAGGACAGGAAGGCCTGGAGGAACGTTGTCCATGGGGTCGCGATGGGTCGGACACGACTTCGCAACTAACAACAACAATTACTAATTTAACAACTTGCAGTGATTCACTTAACGATTGTGGCCAGAAAGATTGTAAAATTGGGGCAAGGCTCAGTTAATTGCTGTCTTGTTTAACAACAGAAATTTTGGGCACAACTGTGTTCATAAGTTGAGGATCACCTGCATAAGGTTTTTAGGCCACCATAATATAGGTTTTTAGACCGATCTGAATCATATCTAGTAAGAAAATAAAAGTTTACTCACCACGTGAAAGAAGCTACCTACAAATTTTGAGCTAAAACTTAGGCCTTCTATTAGTTTCCGGAAGTTTTCATCTTCAAGAGAGAATCGGTACCCAAATACCAAGATGGCTATCAAATTGAAGAAAGCATTGGTGACTGGCAACGAAGGATCCAAGGGTTGACCTGAAAATTAAGAAACAGAGGGTGAAGTTTCGTTCTCCGAGCTTGTGGGTTGGTTTGCGAACCTTTCGTTACCAGGCTAAGTAACATCTTCAGCGGCGTTTAGGGGGATGTCTGTGTCAGTGCTCTTCTGTCTATAAGGGCTTCAGGTGTGGGTGTGTCGAGTGAGGGTCTTGTGATGAGTCATCAGAGGGAGGCTTGGGATGGGCCTTGTGATAGTGAGGTTGCTTCAGATCAGGCTTGTTGGAAGGTGTGAATTATCAGAGGTGAGGGGTGAGTCATCAGTGAGAGGCCAGTGATGGCTCTTGTGATGGGGAGGTTAGGTGAAGTGCTGGTGGGAGGAGGATGGGGGGCTGGCACGGGATGGTTGTGGGTCAGTACTGTCTCTGGTTGGCTGTGCGGTTGATTTGGATCATGAAGGGTTTGTAGGCTGGCTGTAGGTTTGATGTGTCTGTGGATGGAATTGCTTGTGGAGTGCTCAGCTTTGACGAACTCACAAGCGTGGCGGGTGGTCGCATGGCCGATGATTTTTGTGTGGCTCCAATCAAACTGGTGTTGTTTGGTGCCATTGTGGACCATGATTAAAGATTTGGGATCATGGCGTTTGACTGCTAGCCGGTGCTTGTGGATACTGGTTTTTAATTGACATGATGTTTGCCCCACATAGAAGTGGTGCCAATCATAATGATAATGACAAATTGAAAGACAAAGACAAAAAGGACAAGTATAAAAAGTGGAAAGAGGGGCACATAATTAAGGCAGAATATCAGCAAATAGCCCGAGCCTGCAAAGATGAAGTGAGGAAAGCTAAGGCTCCAAATGAACTAAGGCTTGGACCAAAAGTCAATATATAACAACAACAAAAAGCTTCTTTCAACATGTAAAAAACAAGAAAAAAGTTAAAGAAATGATTGGTCCATTAGTGGGGGAAAGTGGCAAGAAGGCGACAAGTAACAGGGAGAAAGCAGAACCACTCAACTCGGTTTTTTTGCATACGTATTTACACAAAGGGAAAAAACAGTCCAACCTATCACAAACAGTACCGTAAAAAACAGATTAGAAACACAAGTTAAGATAGGCAAGAAAATGGTAAGTGAGCACCTGTCCACCCTAGATGAGTTCAAATCACTAGGACCAGATGGATTACACCCCAAGGTTCTGAAGGAACTGGCAGGTGTGATCTCAGAACCACTGAACTATATCTTTCAAAGATCCTGGAGCACTTAGGAACTTCCAAAGGACTGGAAAAGAGCTGATGTAGTTCCCATCTTCAAAAAAGGGAAAAAAATGGATCCAGGAAACTACAGACCTGTCAGCCTGACCTCCATACCTGGGAAGAGCTTGGAAAAGATAACCAAGCAACGAATCAGCGAACACCTAGAAGCAAACAAAGTCATTACCAAAAGCCAACATGAGTTTGTCAAAAACAAATCATGCTAGACAAATCTTATTGCATTGTTTGACCAGGTGACAAAAATAGTGGACCAGAGGAATGCTGTGGATATAATTTATTTGGACTTCAGTAAGGCATTTGATAAAGTAGACCACAACCTAGAACTTGATAAGATAGAAAAATCTGAGTTGGACAGCATCACCACCAGATGGATTCATAGCTGGCTGACCCGCAGTACTCAGCAAGTGGTCCTCAATGGAACCACATCTACATGGAGGGAAGTGTATAGTGGGATGCCCCAGGGCTCTGTTCTGGGCCCAGTGCTCTTCAACATCTTCATCGATGATTTGGATGAGGGGATAGATGGAGAACTCATCAAATTTGCAGATGACATCAAGCTGGCAGGAATAGCCAACACTCCAGAAGATAGGATTAAGATACAGACTTGACAGACTTGAACATTGGGCACTATCTAATAAAATGAAATTCAAGGGTGAAAAAAGTAAGGTTCTACATTTAGGCAAGAAAAACCAAACATACAGGTATATTATAGGTGGTACCTTGCTCAATAGTAGCAACTGTGACAGGGATCTTGGAGTCCTAGTGGACAATCACTTAAATATGAGCCAGCAGTGTGCTGCAGCTGCCAAAAAAGCCAACACAATGCTAGGCTGCATTAACAGAGGGATAGAATTAAGATCATGTGAAGTGTTAATACCACTTTACAATGCCTTGGTAAGGCCACACTTGGAATACTGCATCCAGTTTTGGTCACCACGATGTAAAAAAGACGTTGAGACTCTAGAAAGAGTGCAGAGAAGAGCAACAAAGATGATTAGGGGACTGGAACATATAAAACGTACAAGGAACGGTTGCTGGAATTGGGTATGTCTGGTTTAATGAAGAGAAGGACGAGGGGGGGGACATGATAGCAGTGTTCCAATATCTCAGGGGCTGCCCACACCCACCCAGTAGGCCACACCCACTCCATCCACACCACCCAGTAGGCCGCACACATCCTGGTCACACACCCCCGCCCCCCCCGAGGGCAACCGCAATGCTGATGTGGCCCTCAATGAAATTGAGTTTGACACCCCTGCTCTAAAAGGTTCGCCACTGCCCTATACCATTTCAGACAACTGCTCATAAGTCCCTTTTTTTCAGTGCCGTTGTAACTTCAAATGGCCACTAAGCAAATGTTTGTACGTCGAGGACTATGTGTGCTTCTGGTTTCTGGCCAAACAAAAAAAAAAGCCCCATGGCAAACAATGGATTTGCTTAATAACCGCGGCATACACTTTACAACCAATGAGTTTGCTTAACGGCCAACACAAAAATGGGTCGTAAAAATCAAGTGCAGTCATGTGGTAAGCGGCTTAATGACTATCACATCCTATGACCATAATTACGGGCTCAATTATGGTCATAAGCCAAGGGCTACTTGTAAAGGTTTAGGCAAGCTGGCTCTTGTGCTGGCAGCATTCGCCGGTCTCGCCTACCGTTTGCGTAAGCGAAGGTCTCCACTAGTCGACTGGCTTCTTCTTGTATTTGACTCTCTATGCCTGTCCTTCCCAGTCCAAGTTTACGCATGGTAAGTATGCTGAATTGCCTCTGTTGCTTCCAGGTGTGGCCGTTGGAAAGAATGATACCTGAATCAAACAGAAATAAGTGAGAAATTGTTATCCGCAAAAGGAGATGTTCCAAAGGTATTAAATTCATAGGCTTGAGGGGGTCCTTGGTGCTCTCTGAGCTTGGCTGTTTTCTTGCAGACGTTTCACTACCCAAACTAGGTAACATCATCAGTGCTGGTAGGGAGTGGGGTGTGCTCTCTGTTTAAACACGAGTGGCTGCACAACCAAGCTCAGAGAGGACCAAGGACCCATCATTTCAACCCTGAGCTACAAATAGTCTCCTTTATTGGAATTATCGGCTTAAAAGAGGCCACATTCAGCAAATCATACTGGTATACTCTCGCAAGAATGAAGAGTGCTGCGGAATGAAACACAACGCTTAAGGAAATATCCTTTTCACACAAAATGTTAAAACCGGCTCTTTCACTTCCGCTTGCTTGTCTGAGACAGGCCCCAGGTCAAAAATCATAGCTAATTTTTAAGCCATAAATTCTCAGATATAAATATTTAAACTATTTGGAAGCTGGGGCTGTTTCTCAAGACACTGCAGAGAGTGAGATGATGGGGTTGCACTATGGGCTTATTATGTTTTCTGTCCTGAAGTTTCAGACCAAAATGAAATAACACCATTGGAAGGAACCTTAGAGGTCTTCTAGTCCAACCCCCTGCTCAGGCAGGAAACCCTATACTGTACTATTTCAGACAAAAGGCTTTTCCAATCTCTTCTTTAAAACTTCCAGTGCTGGAGCATTCACAGCTTCTGGAGGGAGGTTGTTCCACTGATTAATTGTTCTAGCTTTCAGGAAAATTCTCCTTAGTTCTAGGTTGCTTCTCTCCTTGATTAGTTTCTACCCGTTGCTTCTTGCCCTGCCTTCAGGCACTTTGGAGAATAGCTTGACTCCCTCTTCTTTGTGGCAGCCCCTGAGATACTGGAAGACTGCTATCATGTCCCCCCTCGTCCTTCTCTTCATTAAACCAAACATAACCAATTCATGCAACTGTTCTTTATATGTTTTAGCCTCCAGTCCCCTAATCATCTTTGTTGCTCATTTCTTTCTCTTTTTTAAAAACAGTTGTTGTTTTGAAAGCCTCTTTGAGCCTTCCTGGCTGAATGGCATCTATCAGGGGTGTCGAACTGCCGGCCCGCGGTACAGATGTGTCATGCCGAAACCGCGCCTACCCCAGCTCCGGCAACGGGGAGGGAAGTCGCGATATGTCGCAACACGTCACGTGAAGTGGCGAGTTTGACACCCCTGGCATATATCCTTTAGTAAGAAAACGAAAGAAAAAGAAGTACTGTGCTGGAAGTATGTAGCCATCTGGTCAGAGTGTACAGCTAGCTTAGGAAATTGTGTCTAGAGCAAGTAGCATTTTAAGGGTTAAAATGCGACCCCCCTTAAGGGTGGCCTTCTGGGAAATGTAGTTTTAGTTGTTACATGGTTATATCTCTGTTCTACTTGGCCACTGGGAGGGTCTGGTGGTTTATTACCAGATATCCTGTTACGTGCCAGGTTTTATTATCTCTCTCCAGGAATCCTAGCCATGAGGCTGGGCTAGGAGCTCCGTAGGAGCATGTAACATTTACGTAGAATGGGGAAATCCATTATTCTTTTACCTATGAGATGGGTCCAGATTACAATCTACATTCTGGAAGAACTTCTACAATAACGGTGAGTTAATGTCTTGAGGATACCTGGAATAAAGTCATTTGTCTGACTTATCCATTGAGTTTATTCTGCCTGTTTCAAGTGGAATCCAGCAGCCTTCTCTGCATGAGACAGGAAAAGTACATTTCACAACTTACCCTTTCCTTTGGACACCGCCCTTAAAAAGGGGGTCTCTACTCGCTCAGAGAGGTCTTCAGAATGGCTGACCAATCCATGCTTTACAGCTTTGTAGCCTGACAGTACTATTATGGGTAAATTCCACACCAGTAACGTGTAAATATTTCCATAACGTTTCGCAAGCTGCCGTTAGGAAAACAAAAAAGAAGAGGAAGAATCGGCACATTCGGATGAAGAAGGCAACGTGACAACCACAAATCAGCCCAAAATCTCTGCGGCTACGCGAGACCGTTGTTAAGTGAATTTTGCCCCATTTTGTGACCTTTCTTGCCACGGTTGCTAAGAGAATGACTGCAGTTTTTAAGTTAGGAGCATGATTGTTAAGTCAATCTGAGCTCTTCGTTTTGTTCGTCAGTAGATCACAAAACGGGATCACAACGTCCCAGACACTGTAACCATCGTAAATACCTGCCAGTTGCTGAGCGCCTGAATTTTGATCATGTGACCAAGGGGATGCTGCAACAGTCGTTAAGTGTGAAAAACGGTCGTAAGTCACTAAACAAATGGTTGTTAAGTTGAGGGCTAGCTGCATTCGGTTCCTTTTTTCACAGCAAGAAGGGTGTAAAAATTATCACCATCATCACCAACAAACCATGATCGTCATTTCGAAGAGCTGCTATTCCCTTTCCGTATTTGACTCACAATCATCTTTCCCAGCCTGTTCCCTCCTCCTAGCTTTGTTTTTCAGCCAAGGTTCCTGCTGCTTACCCCTCTCACTTTCCTTTACCTCCCTGTTGTTGTTGTTGTTGTTGTTATTTTCCACCCATCCCTTTCTGTCTCATTGCTGGAAAGGACTAAATTGCTCCACCAGGTCGTTGCAGTCCATTTTCTGGGACTGAACTGGGCAAAGTCACTGTAAGGATCCACCTCACTTTACATCTTAAGAAGACAGAACTCTTGGAAGATCTCTTCCATCAGGCATCTTTATTAAGAGAAAATGATTGCAGGCGTTCTAGACAGGATCTGAGGAATTCTCTCCCATTCTTCAATGTTTTAAGTGTTCCCAAGCAGCCCCACCCCCACCCCACAGTTCTTCCGGGCGACGATTCCCCCCCTTTTCCCTTACTGCCGGCAAAAGGGAGACTTCAGAGAGCGAGTAGATGAAAGGCGATGGCCATATTGTTATCGTCAGTCCTCTCGGTGAGAATCAACATCCAGTCCTTTTGAAGTTTAATGAAGGAAGTGAGAGCCATAAACCCCGCCACCTGCTCATCCCCCTTCGTAGTATGACAGAATCCAGAGAGAGCAGAAATGGTTTTTTTCCATAGTAGATAACTAGAAATGAAATATAATTGGATTCCGACAGTCACCCAGTTTGCTTCAATCCAGCTCTCTGGGCTGCCAGAAAAAAAAATTAATTGCTTTGGACAAGTTCTACAGGAAAAGTCTCATCCTAGCTTTGTCTCCTACTCCACACTAAAAGCTACCAGGTCAAGTGATTTCAAGACTGCCTATGCCAGGGGGTCTTCAAACTTGGCCCTTTTATGACTGGTGGACTTCAACGCCCAGAATTCCGGCTGAGGAATTCTGGGCGTTGAAGTCCACCAGTCATAAAAGGGCCAAGTTTGAAGACCCCTGGCCTATGCTGAAGCTGATCATTTGGAAGTCTTCAGAAAATAACAGAATAAGAGAATTGGAAGGAACCTTGGAGGTCTTCTAGTCTAACCTCCTGCTCATGCAGGAGGCCTTACACCATTTCAGACAAGTGGATGCCCAATCTCTTCTTAAAAACCTCCAGTGATCCTTCAACATGAGTCAAGAGAGCTCCAAATTGGATACCTTCAAAGAATGAGAAGCTTTAGATTCCACTCTAGGTAACGACTGTCCTCAATCTTCTTCTGCGGGATCCAGAAACATGAGGTTTTGCTCTCTTCTTGCTGCTGGCCTCTATTATTCACCCATCACCATGGACGCAATATGGAGAGCCCAGCAGTCTGAAATAAGCTTTTCCACACCACTGGCTACTTTCAAATAGCTTGGAAGAAGCTTCCCTGCAGCCCAATTTGAAGTCACCCAACACGGGAGACTCTGTAGTTTGTGCCAAGAGAGGGTGATGGTGATGATGATGATGATGATGATGATGATGATGATGATGATGATGATGATGATGATAATAATAATAATAATAATAATAATATAGACGAAAAAGAACTGGAGAAGATAACAAAATACAAAGACCTACAAATAGAAATAGAAAGACTGTGGCAAAGGCAAGCAAGGGTAGTACCAATAGTAATAGGCGCCTTGGGTGCAATCCCAAAACAACTGGAGCACCACTTGAACACCATTGGCATTGACAAATTCGCCATTAGTCAATTGCAAAAGGGGGCCTTACTAGGAACTGCTTCCATCCTGCGACAATATCTGTAGTACCATCAAACATCCACATCTGCCTATCCCAGGTCCTTGGTAAGGACTCAATAGGTGGACAAAATGCCAAATCCAGTCTGAACATCTGGCTGACTGTGCGATGATCCATAATGATGATGATGATGATGGAAGGTACCTTGGAGGTCATCTAGTCCAACCCTGCTCAGGCAGGAAACCCTATATGATTTCAGACAAATGGTTGTCCAATCTCTTCTTAAAAACTTCCAGTGTTGGAGCATTCACCGCTTCTGGAGGCAGGTAGTTCCATTGGTTAATTGTTCTAACTGTCAGGAAGTTTCTCCTTAGTTCTAGGTTGCTTCTCTCCTTGATTAGTTTCCATCCGTTGCTTCTTGTCCTGCCTTGCAGGACTGTAAAGCAAGGGAAATCTGAAGTAAGTCCATAAAATGGGTCTTCACACTTGGCCCTTTTATGACTTGTGGACTTCAACTCCCAGAATTCTGACTGAGGAATTCTGGGAGTTGAAGTCCACAAGTCATAAAAGGGCCAAGTTTGAAGACCCCTGCCCTAAAGTAGTGTTTCTCAACCTTGGTAACACAGACCCCTGGTCCCTAAGAACAGTCACCAGTTCACTCAGTGTCCAGTCCCACCGGTGATCACTAAATGAGGACTACCGATATCATTATCCATTTCTCTACTAAACAAATTCTCAATCCTCTAAATATCAGGCATTCATTCTCCAGGCTTTACAGACCCAACATCCTTCTCCATCACTGGCTCAGAAGTCAAATGACTGCAGTTCTCTTTAATAAGCTTAATAAATAAAATAAGTTTAAATAGATAGATAGATAGATAGATAGATAGATAGATAGATAGATAGATAGATAGATAGATAGATAGATAGATAGATAGACGGACGGACGGACGGACGGACGGACGGACGGACGGACGGACGGACAGACAGACAGACAGATAGATAGATAGATAGATAAAGCAAGTTTCATAATCAAGAAACAAAATACACAGTGAAAAAAAAATACCTGAATTAGAAGTTCAGGAATAAGTCTAAGTTCTCTTCAAGAAGAATAAGAATAATAAGTTCTCTTCAATAACTTAATAAATAAAATAAGTATAAATAAATAAATAAATAAGCAAGCTTCATAATCAAAAAACAAAATACACAGTGAAAAAAAAATACCTGAATTAGAAGTTCAGGAGTAAGTCTAAAACCAGATTGCAGTTCTCTTCAATAAATAAATAAATAAAATAAGTATAAATAAATAAATAAATAAATAAATAAATAAATAAAATAAGTATAAATAAATAAATAAATAAATAAGCAAGCAAGCTTTATAATCAAGAAACAAAATACACAGTGAAAAAAAAATACCTGAATTAGAAGTTTAGGAGTTAGTCTAAAACCAGTCTGCCAGCTGATTCCAATTAAAGGAAGTGGCAAAGGTCCAGGTGGACATTTTCTGAGTAAGTGGAGTTGTTTCAGAAAGTGCAGAATCGAAAGACCCAACAGCAGAAGCAGAAACATTGAGAATATCCAGAGTTGCTGCATTATTTCCACTTTTTCTTTCAATGTCTCCAAGACAGCTTGGCTTGGATCAGCTCTGCTTTCTACAATACCTTCCACAGAGAAGTGACTAGCATTATGGTTTATTTTTTTTAAAAGGGTGCTTTATATAATCCATTCAGGAAATGTTTGCAACGTAAAGGCTTGTATGGTGATATATAATTTGTGTAGGAATGTGTTCCTCCTTACAAGAGTTAGAACAATTAACCAGTGGAACAACCTGCCTCCAGAAGTGGTGAATGCTCCAACACTGGAAGTTTTTAAGAAGAGACTGGACAGCCATTTGTCTGAAATGGCATAGGGTTTCCTGCCTGAGCAGGGGGTTGGACTCGATGACTTCCAAGGTCCCTTCCAACTTTATTATTATTATTATTATTATTATTATTATTATTATTATTATTATTATTATTATTATTATTATTATTATTATTATCATCATCATCATCATCATCATCATCTGTTGCATCCATTTGGTTCCTGACTTAAGTTTCGTTTCTCCTGAAAAGCTTACCTGCCTGCCTTAGGTTTCGTTTCCTGACTTAAGTTTCATTTCTCCTGTTAAGCCTACCTTGAATTAGTACCTCCTTGACTTAAGTTTCCTGTTCTTTGTGTATGGCAATGGAGAGCCATCCCCCTATTGTCCTTTTGTACACCCC